CTGTGCGAGTTTGAGTTCAACATTGGCAATACCCAACAACATCAACAACAAGCTCGGTGAGGTGAGCATATAGCGTATCTTCGATACCAAACCCTCACGCAGAAAATGATGAGCTGGCAAGTCACCGTTGCAATTTTGGTAGAAGTATTCGGGTGCTCATGATTCATGCAGTAGCAATTGTAGTTGTGGCAACAAAGCCAATCGTATCAGCGGCATCAGATGATTAAGATCGCGACTTCGAGTTCAAAAGTGCTGACACTTCAGGTCTCGTGGGCCCAAAACAAGACAGAATGGCGTTGTTGAAGCAGAAAAATCGCGGCCCTCGGAGACCCACGAATTCGAGCTCGCTGTAGCCTGCTACACTGCACAAAGGCGCTTACCTCGATTCCGTCTTTTCCGGTAAGCCGTCATGCGAGCACCTGTAACCGTGTACATCGATGCGAGACCGAAAAGCTGCAAATCCGGGTACTTGCTCCATGTCTTAATTTCTTTGATCGTGCTTCACCCAGAACAGTCCCCAAAACCTCGCATCCTCACCAAATCTCACCACGACCGGAGAGGATGCAGTGTCTTCTGCTGGTCCTTTACTGTCCCTCACAGGCCAGGCCAGATCGAGGGGAGCGCGTGTTTGCAGCTGTTCAAGCCGTTTCTTCGCAGGCTTTCTTGTCATGCCTCTGGTCTGGTCGGTACCAGAAGCACTGGTTACGGCTGAGCTTGCAACTTGCTTCCCGAGCAATGCTGGCTTCGTAGACACTCAGCCAGCACTCAGCTCGGCTATGCTTTGCACCGACAGGCACCGATGCTAGCATGCGTCGTCCACATGAGACACATCAGTGAGCCAAGCCTTCAATCCTCATCAAACCTACGGCCTCTCTGCACTGCTCGACCTTCATTTCCCAAGGTCAGCTGGACCTCAAGCCCGAAAGCCTTGTTTCCGGCAGCCCGAAGCGTGAAACCCAGCACCGTTCTGGTTGCCGCCCCAAACCATGCGAGACTTAGTTTAGCTTCCCTTGCTTAACATAAGTCAGTGTTGTTTTCACTCTCGGTGCAGCTCCTCCACATGACTACTGACAGGATCAGAGTGCGAAATACAGGCTTGGGCGAAGGGGTGTTAGAAGTTGAAGGTTCTTGTTCAACACATCCTTGCTGATTCTTCTTCACGATAGATTCTGCCGGCGAGCATCTAAAGGCTTTGCTTGGTCGATTGTGGATGACTCGGCCAACTGCCACATCTAGGCATGCTCCTACGAACCTTTCTCAATCTTTCATCCTTCAAAGGAGTGGGTGACTGCCGCTTTTGGCCCGTTTTGGGGCTTTGTGGAGGGCTTCCTGTCTTGGCTCAGCGCAGATCCTTGGACTGAGACTTGTGCAGAGCCTGGTGCATGCACCTGTTGTGTAATCGCTGCGATGCCAGCTGGAAGAAGTCTGGAAGCGCATAGCAAAAACGAAGCCCAGGCAGTAAGCAGTTCATTCAGGTGGAGCTACCACTCACGCATTCGAATGCCTGTGTTGAAAACCACCGTCTAGGCACTTCAGTTCATCATCCGACATTGCCCAGAAACCTTCGTCCGGTCCTGCATCTGCAGAAAGCGTCTTTCCTCATCAGCTCTGTCTGACTCTGATGATGCCACGAGCCGCATTGTTTCCTTGGACTACCAGTGGCAGAGCTTCGACTGGTCCACCCTGCGAGCTGATGCTTCTGTCCAGGTGGCCGACGCCTCCCTGTACCCAGTGCTTTTTCGGGACTATTTGGTGACAGTTTGGCCTGAGATTGGATCTGGCATTGCAGGCAACATCTTCATCGCCATGATAACACTTGCTATCACTGCTTTGAACTATGTTGGGTTGAGTATCGTGGGCTGGGTTGCTCCTCAGATGCAAACTCTGACGTTTTCATATAGCTCCGGCAGGCATTGTACGGCAGTTCAGACAATGCAAAACTGAAGCACTGTGACCGAGACCGTCCAAGGCATTCGCGCTTGCAGGCATGTTTGGGCTGAAAGCTTTTGGAAGCACTGAGTCGCGCGCAAACATCAATTTGGTGTTGCATCCAGGGCTTGCATAGTCTGGCCGAGTGCCGTTTTTGTCCAGCCATGTTGCATGTGTGATTGCGCTGTGCCTGTCGCGACCTGCAGGGTTCGTTCTGTCCCCGTTCGCCTTCATGGTTGTGGTCGGTGCACCGCAGATTGAACCGTCCAACCTACTGATCTCTCCTCCGGCCTCTTGCACAAGTTGGCTGTTGAGTTCAACCGCGGTAGAGCTGCGATGGTTGAGAGCCTGTTTGAGGCTTCAGAGGTCGACTGGTCAGGCTTTCTGCAGCCTGGCGGCACCTTCGGTGCGTCAAACCGTTTCTTAGGCTCCTGCAGACTGAGGAACGTCCTCTTCTGGAATCTCAACTACTGGGATTCGGCTTCAACACTTGCAGGTGAAGTGCAAGATGCGGAGAGATCGTACCCAAAGGCTTTGGCCCTGGCTTTGATCGCCGTGGTACTCTCGTACCTTCTCCCATTGTGTCTCGGAAAGATTGCTAGCGACTGCGCAAGGGCTCACAGAGGACAATGGATCGAGGTTGATCGGCCTTGGCATCCCTGGGCCAACGGCTGATTGGAAGAACTGGCAGTCAGGGGAGCTGGCTGTTGTGGGCGGTCAATTGGGTGGCCCGTTCGTTAAGCCCGTGACTGAGGATCACCAAAACCTGTTCGACTAGCAACTAACTGTTAACATCATGTGCAACTCCACTGGCCCGCAGACGAGGTCATGGGTCATTGCTGGTGCAGCTGTCAGCTGTCTCGCACAACAATTGTCGGAAATGGCAGAGGGTGCTTTTCAGCTCCAAGGCCACAAGCCAGCGCTTATCATAGAAGCGTGAGGGATCGGAATTCCGCTTGCGTCAGGCATGGCAGAAGATGGATGGTTGCCGAGCTTCTTTGGACACCGATCCCGGTACGACACCCCCTCTGTTGGCCTGTTCTTGATTGCAATCCTGGTTTTGGCAGCTGCCCTACATGCAGCTGTTCAAGACCGTGTTTTGCGGTGTCGGATGTTTCAGAGGGCCCGCAAACAGCATCCCGAAACCAGCTTCGCAACGATAGACCGATACACCGTTGCACCCGCGAGCGCGAGTGCGGCGTGTCGGTGTATCGGCGTATTTCCCTTGTGGATGGGCATATCGGCATATTTCCCTTCCGGATCGGCGTATACCGGCGTATTTCCCTTCCGCCCGCCCGCTGCGGACCTCTAACGGCGTAAGCCCGCTCCGCTACACCGGTGGGGGGGAGAACCCCGATCGGCGTATTGGCATATTTCTTTTCCGCATCGGCGTATCGGCGTATTTCCGGATAGGCGTATCGGCGTATTGCGCTTCCGTGGGCCCCCCGATCGATGTATCGGCATATTCCCCTCCGGGATCTTCCGCGCGCACGCGACCGGCGTATCATCGGCGTATGTCCGGTCCGTGCGCCCTCGTCCGGCGCAAGGCGATCTAAGGACACTATTTGCAGGCAGGCTGAGATTTCAGCAGGCTCACCATGTAGATGCAGACAACGCTTGCTATGATATGTTCTTTGGGCAACACTGACCGGTCGTCGGGTCAAGAGAATCGTCACCACTTGCGCAAACTTTATACATGTGCGAACTCAATGTATGGAGGCATGTACCCTGAATGGAACTGCAAGGGCTTACGCATTCCAAAAAGGGAGTGGGAGTGGCAAGCCTAAATGGGTTCAACGGCGGTGGGGAGTGAGCAAGCTTCTGGCCGGAAAAGAGGTGGAGAGTGGGAAATAGTGGGAAGTGGGAAGTGGCACACGCAAGTTACGCGGGGCGCAAAACCAGATGGAGTGGACACATCTTTCTGAAGCAGCGCATAGAGGCTAGGGAGATGGAGAGAGTGGGAGCCGCCACTCGGCTACCCTTTGCCGGGATGGCAGTTCCTATTCCATCAGGGTCTGGCAGAGTCCAGCACAGGCCTGAACATCGTTTGCTATGGCTTGAGCATGCTTGAGCACTGCCGGCTAGGTCGCGTCATGTTGACAGCTGCTATATGGTGGAAGTACGCCGCATGTGTCTGCCTTTGAGGTTTACGGCCGCGTAGCTTCTGCATCCTAAAACGTGACGGGAGTGCTGAGCGCAAACAGTGAGCCAGAAACAGAGCAACACGTTCGTGCTGGGAGGACGATGCCCAGGGGAATGTGTAGTATCACGGGACAAGTTTAGCATAGTTTAGCTCAGCTCAGCCAGCACAAGTACCTCGAGTCGCCTTCATGCACCCTGCAGCAGGGACACTCTGACCTGCTCGCTCTTGTTCTTTTCTTCTGCTGCTGAAGCGCGATGAAGCGCGTACAGCGGAGAGTCTAGAAACCCGCATGGCCTGCGAGACAATCGTGCAGGCAAGCTGTTGTCAAGCCGCCTCATTTGTCACCCAAGCCTTCCTGAGCAAGTCCACTATAGAAGGCCCCCTCGCGCTTGAGAGCCAAGGTTTGCGTTGTGCTACCCATGGCACAAAAGCGATTGTGTGGTGAAGATCATCAGTAGCCTAGACCCCTCCTTTACACATTCTAACCCCTCTCCTCCCAATCGTGCTGCGATGTGCTGGGTCCTTTCCTCGTTTTCACCGAGCGTCGCGGGGACCTAGCCTGCTCATCAGTCCTTCTCATGATGCCACTGACAATCTGGAGGGTTGTGCGTATCGGGCTTCAGCCGAGAGGCGTGTGGGCATCTGGCATCTCGAAAAGGCATCACCGGAAAGCAGGTTCATCTAGGATGTCGATGCATCTCGCTGTCCCTGAAAGCAGGGATGCTCGGTGCACAGTTGGTTATCGGTTACGTCATCCTTTATCTCGCTACGGAATCGCTCGTCGGATGCCCTCGCGCGGTGCACTTCAGCTCTGCTGGCTTGCCATCGGAGAGAGGATACTACGATAGAATGATGATCTCTCTCTCTCGCTCTCTCCCTCTCTCTCTGATGTTTGCAGTCCCTATCGTGGTCTCGAGGTGCTGAGCTCTTCCTCAAGTTTCAGCGCGATTGTCAATGTGCTCAACGCCGTCTATTGCCTTGCGCAGGCACGGACCTACAGCAGTCCCTCGAGTTGGAGATCACCACAGGGAATGGGACAATCAACAAACACTAGAAACGAAATCAAGGCTTGGGTGTATTATGCAACACAGCCGAGTCCATGACAAGGTACTGGAGTTTTCGGCGTTTCTGCACCTCAGAAGTACCTTAGCTCGTGCAGTTTGGCTGTGCTTGAAGCAGATTGATATGAACACACATGTCAAAACAGCACAGCTCAGGAAAACACAACGACATGGAACGTCTCTACCTCAGATGCCACAATGTGTTGGTTTTGAGGCCAGTCTTCCACACCAGGGTTGCAAGTTCTGAGGCCCCTTCCGCGTTCCGTGCTCTTTTCAGGCCAGAGTGTGGGTGAACATGCTTGGGTGGGTTCGAAGAGTCAAAGCACGGTTTGTCAAAACTACGGGTTTCATGGGAGCAGGAAACCACAGCATGTCTGCGAACAGCCGGGCGCGCGTGTGCCTGGTGTAGCACACCGGGCATAGACTGAGGTAAAAGGTGGCGTAAGGAAGCGCAAGACTATGATACATGCATTCACGGGGTTGCTGCTCCATCGTCTGGCCATACAGTCTTTACATCAATCTCGCTATTAGACCTCAAACCAGGATCTTTGAACCGTTTTGTACCTCCTTGCAACCGGGGCGTCCCTCCTTAATTTCCGCCCTTTGGATAAACAGTATATTTCGACACCCTCCTGGGTTAAGTTTTAAGTATTGTGGTTGCCTTCCGTTCACCTTGCGTTTCACAGTGTTGTGTTGATCTACCATTTTTCAACTGGTATTCTGACACGCTTTTGCAAGAAATCCGCAAGAGCGCTTTGCGCGTCTCCGATGTATATCGGCGCGATATTTCGCCAGCAAGGAAGGGGCATTTGGAAGTGCGGAAGTCTCCAGTGCAAAAGGTTTACGACTCCAAATGCCCAGTCTACATGTGAGGCCGAATGGCTGGGAAAAGTTGAGAAAAGGCTTTAGGAGACCTTGTCAAACCAGACACGGCTGACCCGAGACGCAGACCTACACCCAAGCACTGAACCAATACATACCAATACTGTGTCCAGAACCGAGATATGCTGCACACCAGGTGTGCTGCCTCATGCTGGCGCTTCCTCTTGCTTTCTGCTTCGCCTGTCGGCAGCAATTCAGGATGTGAGGCAAGCCAAGTTTTACGATGCTGGCGCATCTCTCACAGCCTCGCCAGCCAAGTATTGATTGTTCCACGGCGCCGACCAAGCCTGCGGTGGGCAAATTGTCGCAATCTCCTGTGCAGGTTCTATTGATTCTGCCCTTCTTCGCCGGAGACTGGCTGCAGGTTGGCGCTATTGGTGGTTCAGTCGCGCCGCCCACCTAAAAACCTAGTCGGTTTGCATGCCTTGGAACGGATGATGGCAAGAGCATCAATCGCGGGCCAAAGCCGTCCGGGCTCAAACGGGACGATTAATGTTTCGAGTCGAAACAATCAACACAGTACGTCCCAGAAGATGCTTCAGGTGTCAACTCGGTGTGAGGCCTCACACTGAGACAGAGAATTCTAAGGATGGCCGTCCTTCTTCACTGCTGTTTGGAATTCTGCCGTCGCGTCCCAGAGGCACTAAGCAATAGAGGATTGGCCTCCAAGTTCTGCACCACCACATCCAGTGAGCGTCGCGCTGAGGACATGGCTGGTTGCACTTTCGAAGGCCAGCGAGCCATTTCACACCCGGGGGCTCTGCTGCCAAGTGGACAACCCAAGCTTGAGTTAGATCGAGCGACGAGTCCAGCTCCGGGCTCGGCCGAGCAGATGTTCGAAGCTTGTGTTACTTTGTATTGCTCGTCGGGATCCGTAGAGCCGTAGGGTAGACCATCCGCACGGCAGCGCCGTTCAACACAGTTTGCCATTCCACGTCCCACTGCAGACGCGGAAGGAGTTGCATGTGCAGCAGAGTGCAGCGTTGGAAAGCATTTCCGAAGCTTGGCGCGAGGCAACCCCCCCGTGGACTTGAAGACATCCTCGCAGCTCAAGCCTCCCATTTCGATTCTTGGCTTGTCTCGAAGAGATCCTGAGCTTCGATCCTCTAAGCCTGTCCATGCTGTCAGCAAGGCCAGCACAGCCTCGGAAAGCCCACAGCACGGATCTGAGACCCTTGGTCAGTCCGTCCGAGCAGAATTGTCGCAGTCCTTGGGAAGGCTGTGAGCACCGCTGTCCTGTCTTGAAGATTGGGACGGGGATGGTCAGAACTTGCAGGCTGTATGGCTGCTGGATGCTGCTAGCGTTTAGGCGTACTTCCGGGAGCTCTCACCAAGAAAAAGAGGTTGTGTCTTGCTGGCAAGACTCACAACATCTCAAAGCCAAACCGAGTGAGGCCCACGCTCCCACTTGGTCCAAGCCCCAGGCATGGGGCGCTCAGGTAAAATGTTCATACTGGTTCAAGCCCTGCGGGGTCAAGAAAAAGTATTGGTGTCTGGGTCTCTCTACCAGACCCATCCAAGCCTGTTTCTGGTGCTTGGTGGGTCTCGTGCAGCTCCACACGACCGGTTGGGCTTCACTAAAGGTTATCGAACCTGCCCAAGCATGGCCAAGCCCTGCACATTGGAAGACACGTTTCCGCTTCCGACTCGGAAGACCTCTCCGAGCCATCCGAGCCCGAGCCGTCAGACTTCGGGACTTGGCGCCATCAGAAGCGAAGCTAGGAAGGGCTTGTGTAAAAAGTCGAAGAGCTGAGCGGCGATGCTGAAAAAGAGCAGGGGCTTGCCTTGTGTTGCCATCGCCAAGGCTGTGCAATCTTTCCAGCCAGCCCTGGCTCCAGGATCTTCAGATGTTGTCGCAGACTCTGACATCGTTGGCTCAGGCCTGTTTGCAGTCTTGCTGCTTCGCTCAGATCCTATTTTTGCTGTGGCCCGTTGATCCTTTGCCGATGTCGTGGCGCAGGCACATGGGGCCCATTCCTTTCATGTGGTTCTTGCTATGGAGGTTCTGCGCTCAGCTTGGCAGCTTCTGGTCGGTTACACTTACACAGAACATGGTTTTCTTTTGGGAAAGGCACGCGAAGGACCGGCAGGATTGGAGAAGGCGCTTCCGCTTCTTGCATCCGGACCTCTCCGAGTGGTTTCATTTGCAGGCCGCGCAGCTCTCCGACGGTTTCTCCAAGTATTTTTCCACGCCGGCGGCTCGGTGCATCTGCCTCACTTCGTCGGCACTGCTCGGCACTGTTCTTGACAGGCTTCGAAGCACCAGTCATCCCTCCAATCTGCGAGAGGAGCACGCAGATGGCAGATGCCTCACTGTGGCACCGGACTCCGCAAACATGAACCTGCAGACAATGTCTGAGGCTCATGGGATGCAGAAGTTCCTGGGAAGGCTTCGAATGTAAAGTGGGCATCTAGCTTAGCATCTTCGTGTCGTTTTGCGAAGCCTTGAATGCCTCGTTTCTGAGGCGGTTCGGGAGGCTCACAGAGAGCTTCTAAAGGAGCCTCTTCAGCTAGGCCAGGATGGGTCATTCGGACAGACACTTACGATGTGTCGCAAGGAGTCCGTGGATCCTGCTTCAGTGATCCTCACAGTTGCGGATGCAGATGTGACCCGGCACAAAGTTGGGAGAAGCAAGGCGATGACAACTTGCCTGAGCTCCGTGGCTTTCAACGAAGCTGCCTTGTTGCTTTCCACTGGTCTCCCACCAGTCCCCGCACCGATCAAACAGGCTCGTAGCCGCCTGTGAGTTGTAGTGTACACCCTTTTCTCTCTTCCATGTACACCATCAGGGTTATAGAGCTTGAAGCCTAATTTGTGGGGCTCGTGGTTGTTTAGTTCGAGGTCGTGCCGGCAGTTTGTCACTGTCACATAATTATGCACATGCCAAGAACTGCTGCTCATGGTGCCATGGTGCCCGACCTTTAGAATTTGGCGCAGAGGTCATATGATGTTGCTTGTTTGGCAACTGTATATGTCAAATATGTCTTCAAGATCGGCTGCGAGTGGTTTCGCGCTCGAGTCGGTCTGCAGGAATCGCCCTTTAGCTTAGCATGCCGTGTCTAGTTCGCATTGGAGTGCATGCCTTGGTTGATGCAGTGCAAGTGGGCTAGTTTGCCCGGGTATGCGTTGTGTTTGGCAAGAATTCGAAACAGCAGCTTCGAGCTCCGGGCAATTTGAAATGGCCAGCGTCTTTGCCAATCCAAGGTCGTTTTCCATCCAAGATATTTCAGCCACTTGACGAGGGACTTCGGCGTTGTTCGTCGGCGTGGAGGCAGCTTAGACGTGTCGCACTCAAGCACGCAGATGTAAGATGCTCAAGTGTGTTTCAGGTGGCTGGCATGAGTGGACCATTTGGCAAGCCTTCGTCTTGGCTTACCTGACTATCTGTCTCTCTGAGCCTTCCTTTGTCTCCCTGTCTCTTTCTTTTTCGACGGCGGAGGCACCACAGCTGCCATTTCGAAATTACTATGCGTCGCCGGCTTGTTCCCGGGCGCAACCCCCAGCGCACAAGAGCCACGCCCGTTGCCAATCTTCCGGATTCCAGCCGCGTCCTTCAGGTGTGGGCCTATGTTGCGTCTATTTGGGAATGTGGTGGGGTGGCCTTCTCAGACAAATTCAAAAGAAGGCGCCCGATGTTGTTCCGACAGCTGCAGGTTGCAGGCCTCAGCTTCGGGAGCGAGCATTTTGCTTTCATCTCAGAAGCAGCAAGGCAACGATCTTGCTGTTGCGAAGACTTGGCACTGCGAGGCCTTTAGCACCTACTCGCTGCCGCTGCTCCTGGCAGTGGAGGCGCTCTCGTGCCCCGTAGTCTCGCTGTGTTCGCAAGAAAGACCACCTGCCAGGCGGAAGCCCACGAGGGAGATGTGATTGCGGAGGACAGTTGAGTGGACCAGACACAGAGAGAGAGAGAGAGAGAGAGATAGAGAACCATATCTTTTTCCGAGCTGTTTTCTCACGCCTTCCCACAAGGCCCCCCAACAGGGGCGCACCTTTCGTTGGCGAGGGACCTGACCAGTCCCTCATGTTTAGCCGAAGAAGAAGGGAGAGAGAGCGACAGCGAGAGAGGTGCGCGTTCGTGTGCGAGGGAGAGAGAGCGAGAGAGAGAGAGAGAGAGCCATTTTGGCTCAAGTGCTGCACC